AGGAGCCAACATTACTGACAGAATCAGAAGGGTTCTTCAGGCACAGATCAAGTAAAATCTAGAAGTTTAAGATATAGACAGAGTATGAGCACCAGAAAGACAGGAACAGTGGTAATTAGAAGGAATGCATTAGAAGAAAATAGCATAAAGGTTGAAGTAGATGGTATCACACTGGAATAAATTGAGGGGTGGAATCATATTGGGTCTGAATGATTTGGGCTATAGTGAAAAATCTGGGAGAATTGTGAGACGCTAGGCGAGGCCTCTCCTGACTCCAAGAGCAACTCATTGCATTTTCCAACAGTGTTCCGGTTGTCAGAACAAGATTTTCATGAAGGGAGTGAGGAGATGCTTGTTAAGGGGGATTATTGCTTGGTAACAGCCTCATTAATGAGGAATCTCACCTTATTAATATGCAGCTTCCCTTTCGACAACCTATATTGACAATTCCCAACATGAAAGTCAGAGTGGGTACCTAGTGACACCAGCCTGCTCTTCTGGGCCACCATGTTGGTCTCCCGTTGACAAAGTCTCAGAGCATGCCCTAGGGGTCTTGACACACTCAGTTCTCCAATCCCAATCCTTGGACGCTGGTTATCCGACAACTACCAGTCTCTCGGGGCGTTTATGATCCACTGAGCGAAAACCAGTCTGCACCTCAGGGCTGTTTGCTCACTCTCTTAACACTCACTCGCCCACCTCGAGCCTCCCTGCCTGCTTGTCTTGTGTGTCATTTTGCACAGTGCTCCCAGGCTTTGTTACCCACCCACCCCCACAACTTAATTCATTCACAGGATGTGGGTTTCACTGGCTCTGCCAGCATTTATTGCCTATCCCCTAATTGCCCAGAGGGCAGTTAAGAGTCAACCACATTGCTGTAGTCACATATAGGCCCAATTAAGTACAGGCAGCAGGGGCACTAGTGAAACAGATGAATTTTTCCTGACAATTGACAACAGATTCAAGGTCATCATTAGACTATTAATTCCAGGTATTTATTGAATTCAAATTCCACTGACTGTCCATGTGGGATTCGAATCCGGGTCCCTAGAACGTTATCTGGGTCACCAGTCAAGTGACTGATACCACTAGGTGGCCAGGGTGATGATCATGTCCTCAAGGTGGGTGTGGAGGCAGATGTCACACAGCCCATCATCTGCCATTGCTCTTTCTGCCCCACCATAGGCTGATTTGTCCTGGAGTGAGAGAAAGAGAAGGATTGCTTGAGATGGAAGCACAGTTGTTAGTGCTGTTGAAGGTAGTGAGTTGACTAAAACTTCTGAGTAGTGTTATGGACCAGATCAGACCCCACCAAAGTATTGTAAGAAGATAACCTAGACCCTAGCTTTTATATTTACTTGAAGGCAAGTGTAAGATGCTGTGTTCCAAATGTAATTAGATTGGTCCACTACTACACTTCAATCAAAACACACTTTATTCTTACAACACGGTTAAAATACAGAAAAAAAGAAGAATTGGCATAACTTTAACTCTATTCACATACTTAACAAGATAATGCATCATTTAACCACTAATGATCAACTGTTCCAATATGGGCAGCATTTCATAAACATATACTTTGGCAAAAATGCAATTTAACAAAACAGCTATGATTCTCACATGCTGTCAGTCTCCTGTCCAGAAGAAAGAAACAATCCGCCTCTTTTGATTTTTAAGAGGAAGCCTTGCTACCTAAGATACAGTCTGGTAAACCTTCATTGCACTCCGTCCATAGCCAGAACATTCGTCCTCAGATAAAGAGACCATAACTGCACACTGTACTCCAGGTGGGTTCTCACCATGGCCCTATACAATTGCAGCAGGACATCCCTGTTCCTGCACTCAAATCCTGTTGCCATGAAAGCCCAACATACTTTGTAGGAGATATTGTCCCAAAATTTAGTAACTAGGTCTGTGTCACATCACTGTTGAATCTATAGCTGACCAACTGAAGAGCTAAAGGTGAACAACAGCTGACTAACTTCTCCCAGAGATAGTCATCTATATATCAGTGGATGGAGAATTTCCATAGTTTTCAAGTTAGCCCTTTCAGTCCAACTGTCTTTTGCAACAGGCATTCAGGAGATGCCTGGGCTAAATCCAATATATTATCATTTCCTAAGAAATTCAAGGGACCATTTGGTCCTGGCTGACTGCAGGCTGTAATATGAAATCGCAGTGGGTTTACTTGTACATACGGTAGAAAAGTGCTAGTCCTTGAAGGTACTGCTGGCAGATAACATAAATAGTTAATGTTCTTGATTGTGCACAGTTCGAAGGAGCAGGGGTGCTCCATAATGAAGCTGCAGGCCAATCATCCTCTTCTGACCTATCCATTTGGTTTTACCTGGCTTCTTATTAATTTTCCAACAATATCCCCTCTCCTGGCCCAACCTGGCTCCCCTGAGGCTCAGTTGCCAGTTAACTTCTATCGTCTTCAGAACAGCAATGTGATCATTGCAGTGTATACTTACAGACATACAGTGAAATCTTTCAAAAGTGATTGTGTTCCTAGTATAACACTTTCCAGTAAGTACAATTGTGGCTTTCTCACATGGGTTTTATATATGCATGTAGGAAATTTATGCCTTCTGAACATCTGACTTACGAATGCTTGTACTTACAAACGTGATCATTTATTGGGGTGTAATTTTATAGATCCAATATGCGAACATCTCTTTTAGAGTTATAGACTTGTACGACATGGAAAAAACCCTTCAGTCTAACTCATCCATGCCGACCAGGTAAAAGCTTTCATTCCCTGCCCAGAAAGCAATACTTACGAATGGCTAGTTTATTTTGTCTCGCATTGTGTTCCAACAAGTCAATTTACAAACAGACTCAAGAATGGACCCCCCTTTCAACTTGGAACTGCCTGTATAATATTTTGAGAAATATTTTGTAAATGAGCGCATTACTTTTGTGTGTAGATTTTGCAACTGTGATTGTTCTTCATTTGAGTAATGTTTTGTGGTTCTATAAAATTCGAGTCATGAAGCAGTTGGAAAGATAACTTTCGACATTAAAAAAAATCATTGTTTTTCAAAATGGGTCAGTCTTGAGTGGGAAGATGGCCATCAACCCTTAAAAGGCCTGAGACCTGCGGCCCACTTGGCAAGCAGCCCTGAGAATAGAATGCACTAACCTAACCTGCAGCTGGCTCACATTACCTCACCTTGAACGTCTTCCTGCTCACTGCTTCAAAACCTACCGCCACCACTGAGATTCCAAAATTGGGAATCTCAGAACCTGCTGTCAGAATCACAATGGTTTGATTATCTGTGCCTGTCTACTACTGGTGCCCGCTCTGGTTGATTGATTAAGGTTGGGCGTAGAAACAAAGTAAACACAACTATAGAAACCTCAAAAGTAGGAGCAAAAACAGGCCATTTGGCCCATTGAGTCTGTACTACCATTCAACATGATAATGACTGATCTTCTATCTCAGTACCATACTCCTGGTCTCTCTCCCTATCCCTAAACAGCTCCAGTGTCTAGAAACCTATTTCTTTCTTAAACACGTTCAGTGACTTTGTCTTCACAAAAAGAATCTCAGAGAATTCTACAGGCTTACCACCCTCTGGGTGAAGAAATTTCTCCTCATCTCTAGCCTGTATCCTGAGAGTGTGATTTCTTACCCTGGACCCTCATTCTTGAATCCAATCTGTCCAGCCTTGTCAGAATTTTTTACATTTCAATGAGATCCCCTCTCGCTCTTCTGAACTTGAGTGAATTCAGGCCCGGTTATCCCAATTTCTCATCATACGACAAACCTGCCATCACTAGATTAGTCTGGTGAACCTTCACTAAACACCCTCTGTGGAAGTTACATCTTACCCTTGGATGAGGAAATTAAAACTGCACACACTACTCCAGATATGATTTCACCAAAGCCCTGTAAAAGCACAGCATGTCATCCTTGCTTCGGTACTCAAATCCCCTTGCAATGAAGGCCAACAGACCATTTGCCTTCTTAAAAAGTAGAAGCCAGAGCAGCAGCATGGAGCAGGTATCTTAAAGCACTGTGAATCAAATCCGTTATGCACACCAAAACTAGAATTATCTCTGCATAGGTCTGTAATATGAAATAAACAATAGTTGACCTCTTCAACGTGCTATTCCAATCTGCATAATGGAAGAGGACCAATTTTTCAGAATCCTCTTCCTCATTGATTGTGGTACAGTGGATGTGGTGCAGAATTTGCACACGAGCCTCTCGGCAGCTAGTGTTTCAGAACAAAAACCCATGGACGCACAGCATTCAGTTGTTACGTCGAATGTGGAAAGGAGAATAACCGTGCAAGGATCACTAAGCTTTTCTTGGGTGTTGCAAACTTATCCTGCAATGAAACATCATTGGTGGGTGAAATAACTCCACAGAAGCTAGAACCCCATCATGAAGTCACCCTTTATTTATACATGCATAGCACATGACACTGACCCAGCTAGCTCAGCGCCAGCTCCGAGAGTGAGCAGAACCTCTGACCCGCCTGCTTATATCTGTCAGCCAGGGCTCCCTGATTGGACCAGATTAACAACTCCAATCAGGGAACTCATATTCTATGGGGTCCACCTGTCTGAGCGTGGTCTGAGCGCTACAGTGTAGCTTTTCTTTTAAAAATGTAAATTATTTTAACTTGAAAGACAGAAAACAGAGATTGACACCACCTTAGGACTGCACGGTGGCTCAGTGGTTAGCACTGCTGCCTCACAGCACCAGGGACGTAGGTTCGATTCCAACCCTCGGGCAACTGTCTGTGTGGAGTTTGCACATTCTCCCCATGTCTGCGTGGGTTTCCTCCAGCAATCCAAAGGTGTGCAGGTTAGGTGGATTAGCCATGCTAAATTGCCCGCAGTGTTCAGGGATGTGGAGATTAGGGGTTAGGTCTGGGTGGGATGCTCTGTGTATCTTGTTGGGCCGAAGGGATTCTATGATTCTTAGACTGGTGGGAAGCACAGGTTGTGGTAACCTAACACCGTTTTTATTTCTGTCCCTGCAGAGGCATCCATTCTCAGCTACGATGGCAGTATGTACCTGAAGATAGTCATGCCCTGGGTAATGCACACAGAAGCTGAAGATGTCTCTCTCCGATTCATATCCCAGCGAGCCTATGGCTTGCTCGTGGCTACGACCTCAAGGGACTCAGCTGACACTCTGCGCCTGGAGCTGGACGGAGGGCGTGTAAAGCTGACAGTCAACTTAGGTATTGTATGACAACACAGGGCCGACTCAGCTCATCACTTGCGATCTTTTTTTTTCTCTCACAGTTGTGAAACTAGCCGCAATTATTTCAGTGCAGTAAATACTTGATCTTATTTTATCCTGCACCTACTTCCCTAAAACAGTAAAGTTAATTAATGAGTTGTTTGAGTGTTGTGCAAAACGTGCATGAAATTATTCTCTATGACTACGAAATGTTGGATTTGAAATCCATGTTTAAATGAACCATCTTTTGAGCAACTATTCATGTTTTTTGCAATCATATCTGTTGGCACTGCCAAGTAAGTCACAGCTATTATTTAGTAAAATACTTACAGAGAAGTGGTGAAATCACTCACGTGTAATAATTTTCCCAAAATAATTCCTTCTTTTAAAAGAAAGAGCTGTGACCTACTCAGGTGGGTTTCATACTTTATATATCTATATATATCTATAAACTGTTTTAAGGAATATTTTGTAAACATGCGTGTTTCTTTATAGTCGTGTTCGTTCTTCATTTCCGTAAAATTTTGTGGTTTTATAAAACGTAATTGCTTTTTAAGTTATCGCTTGAATTTTTTTTCAAATTGCTTCATGAGTCATCAGTCAAAAGATGGCTATCAACCCTTCAAAGGCCTGAAGCCTGCGGCCCGCTTGGCAAACAGCCCTGAGAACAAGAGTGCACTAACCTAACCTGCAGCTGGCTCGCATTACCTCACCTTGAGCGCCTTCTCTCCCGCCGCTCCCTCACACAAAATCCGCCCTCCCATAAAATTCGGAACCTCAACATCTGCCCTCCACATCACAATGGTTCATCCAGATCAGGCATCAAAGGAGTGTTCAATTGTGCATCAGCTTTTTTTTTGCTGTTGTTATTGTAACAGCTGCTTCAAATCTCCCCGAGAGGCTTCTCTGGAGGTACAGCGGTAGTGCCCCTATCTCTGGACCAGGAGATCCAGGGTTCAAGTCCCCCCCCCCCCCCCCCCCCGCCCCACTGCTGTAGAGGTATGTAATGAAATCTCTGAACATCTTGATTTGAGGCAAAAGAAAATTCAAATCTCCACGAACAACCATTTGTTCTTAAGTGCCAGTGCAAGGAAGCCGGCAAATAGAGATATATTTGCGTAATTCTTATGACCAGTGCACTGATTTCCATTTACTTTGTATGATGGAGGAAAAATTAAAGTTTTAAATTTAAAAATATGCTCCTGTGAGCTTTGGGGAAGGAAGCGATTCTCCCCTTTGAGAATGTTATTTAATTATTTGATCAGGCTGAAAAGGCCAGTGTTCGGGTGATTGGGCAAAATAGACAGACACATCATTCTCTAAAGTACAACTTCACCGTTCATCTTCACCATTTTCAACACAGCAAATAAGCGTTGATATTTTGAAAGGCGTATAGAATTATTTTGGACATTGCGAAAAAAAAGGATGCACTTTTGAAAGACAGAAAAAAACAAGGTCTGTACTGATTTTCTAATGGGGGAAGAAAGTAGAAAAGAAATTAAAATTGTTTTGGTGATGCAAATGTTGTTGCTCTTCTGGCCCATCCCAGAACAGGAGTCTTACTGAACCTACTAATTCAAGAACATTTTCATTGAATGCCGTCAGTCAATTTTTAATCCTATTGAAGCTTTCCTTCATCATTGTATCTTTTCGAGGCGTTATGCCATCTAGTGATCACTGTGCGACATACACTGAGTGCTTCCAGTTGAGGTCAAGTGTAAATCGGGAGCAGGAGTTCTAGATTCCCAGTTTAGATGACCAGACTTTGCATTTCTCATTTACTTTTAAGCTAAAGATGATACAAGATTGGTCTTTGGTAGTTGCCTTGTGAATAAAGCCACATTGACTTTGAAACCCAAGAGTATTCTGTTCTAAATGATACAAAATCCAGTCACTGGAAGATATGTGGACACACAAAGCCCAGATTTTGATTTCTGTGGAGTTTTTGTGCAGATCTCAACATTTCCTCAGTGCCTATTTTTCTGGAGTAGGAACCTCCATAGAGCTTAAGGAGACGATGAGGATGAAGGACAGTGGCACTTGGCACTGATAGTCCATTGGCAAACATTTAAACTCTTTAATCAGTTCGCTTAACACCCTTCCAAAACTTACTGAAGCCTGTCTCACTGATTCAAAATACAATTAACTTCACTGTCCCTGAAAACATTGAGGTCAGTTATTTCTGTTCACAAAGTAAACATATTCAAAACCAGATTGAGGTATTTGCACAAAACTAGTTAATTAAAATTATTGCATGTATCAAATTGTTTCAATGAAAAACGTCTTCCAAACACCAGGAGCTGATTTGTTTCACAGTTTCAACACCACACCTTCACTATATCTATAGGATAGTGTTGGAATACAAAGCACAATTTTGAGCAAAATGCCTGTTCTCACCCACAATTCCCCACTGTTGGTGTGAACCCCTTTCTTTGTCGGCAGTGTTGGAGGTTACCTGGAATCTGAGCCCATTTTTTTTCCACCCCCCTTCCCCATCCCAGTTAATGTTGCTCCCCAAGACTATCAAGGATGGGTCTGCTGATGGTTCCTGAGACAATGGTGGTATGGAGCTGAAATTCCTGAATGCAGGGAGGTGAAGTGTCAAATAATTGCTCCAAAGAGGTGCCATGTTTTAGACACGAGGTCTACAAAAGCTTTATTGAACCTTTTGTTCCTTCGGCCTATCTTGAGGTGGCCAATCCTGCCCCTCCCGCTGCTTTTTGTGGACCAGCAACTAACCATGTTGCACCTACCATCAGCTGACTTCAATTCGCATCCGAAATCCTTCCGGAAGTTCGGCCTGAGTGAGCCCCTCCCTGATCCTGGAAAAAATATCACGGTCGCGACAAAGTCAAGAACCCATTCCCATCCAGATCTTGGTCAGAAGAAGAAAATGGAACCCTTTTATCTCTTGGTCGGTGGTTTGTCATCAGATGCCTTCCCATTCTTGAAGCTGTTTATCAAGATTACAGTCAGAATTAGAATTAGCGTTATTATCACATGTACCCACATGGGTGCATTGAAAAATTTACAAAGTTGCCACTTACGGCACCATCTTAGGTACAAAGTACAGGATCTCAGGGATAACTTACAAAAATAAAGAAACGAAAACTTCATAATTATAGTCCTTCAAGCAGACACGCCATGCCAGGGCCTCCTCCAAAGACTGCCCCTGGCCTCACCTCCAGTCCACCCTGGGCCTCACCTCCAGTCCACCCCCGGGCCTCACCTCCAGTCCACCCCCGGGCCTCACCTCCAGTCCACCCCTGGGCCTCACCTCCAGTCCATCTGGGCCTCACCTCCAGTCCATCCCTGGGCCTCACCTCCAGTCCATCCCCGGCCTC